CCCCATTGCATTCTGGTCCAAGAAGTGCAACGACAGCCAGAGGAAGTACCCGGCAAACAAGTTGGAGCTGTTGAGCCTTGTGCTCGTGCTGCGAGAGTACCGTAGCATGTTGCTGGGTCAAGACGTGCGCATTCACACCGACCACCTGAATTTGACGTACAGCACCTTCAACAACTGGCAAATGATGCGATGGCGTTTAGAAGTCGAGGAATTCGGCCCGACACTGCTCTACGTGAACGGTGAAGAGAATGTCGTTGCCGACGCACTGTCCCGGCTGACCATCGTCGATGCCGACTTGGGGAAGGACGAATCACGTCAAGTGATGAGCACCATATTGCTACCACTGCTACTTCGGTGACCCCGTCGGTCGTACCGTTTTGGTTTGACCTTGGCGACCTGGCGCAAGCGCAGCAGCGCGATGAAGCGCTGAAGGCATACCCTGTGGTGGAGATGAGCGGCATTCTGATGAGCGGCATTCTGCTCAAGGTCGACCCGCGCAGCAGTCGAGTGATGGTGCCTACTGAGATGCAGCAAGGACTGGTGGAAGCTTACCACTCCGAGCTGATGAACCCAGGAGCTACCACAATGATGAACACCATTGCTCACGTCTTCCACTCGAAAGGTATGGAGGCGGATGTAGCACAGTTTGTGAAGGCTTGCGTCGTTTGTGCGAAGAGTAAGCATCCTACCGTGAAGTACGGTAAGGTCCCGCAGAAATCCGTGACTGTGCATCCGTGGTACGAGGTGGCTATCGATTCCATTGGACCTTTTGGCAGACAACAATTCCGTGGGATTACGATCATCGATACGAGCACAAGGCTGAGCGAACTACATCCAGTAGTCGATGCTAGCAGTGAGGAAGCCGCCTACATCTTCGACAGATACTGGCTTTGCTGATACCCACGACCGGTTCGTGTCATCTATGATCAAGGCACCGAATTCAAGAAAGAGTTTGCTGAGTTGCTGGCTAGCTACGGCATTGAGTCAGAGCCCACTACCGTGCGCAACCCCCAAGCTAACCGAGTGATCGAGCGCCTTCATCGTGTCATCGGCGACAAGATGAGGACCCAGAAGATCGAGACTGCGGCCGATTGGGAGGTCTTTCTTCACAACGTAACCTTCGCGCTTCGTGCTGCCCACCACAGTATGCTAGATGCATCACCTGCACAAGTTGCCTTTGGTCGTAACATGATCGCCGACATTGCACACCGAACGGACTGGGCAGAACAGTACAAGCGCAAACTGGATCAAGTCGCGCGCCACAACCAGCGTGAAAACAGCAAGCGACGAGATTGGACTTTCAATCCTGGTGATTGCGTGCTGCTCAAGAACGATGCTGGCGTGCAGTTCAAGATGGCCCCGCTGTACAGTGGCCCGTACGAGGTAATTGCTGTACGTGAGAACGGACGCTGGTCTTGAACAAGGGTCGCTACGTGGAGACTAATCACATTCGCCGAGTTATCCCTGTCAAGGCGCAGCGTGGGGAAGCCTGTCAGCAAGTCGAAGATCTGTGACGCGCGCACAAGATTCCGGTGGTCCGGCAAATCGGTTCAACTCGATCACGGATCGAGACCGGTTCGACAGGGCACTGCCGATGAAGGAATGGTTGGTCTGGAGTTGGTTTAGGACCGCCCTAAGCAGGTTGTTTAGAGACGTAAGAGATCTAGCTAACTGCGAGCTTTGAGCTCGCTCGGTCAATTCTACTCAGTTCCCATTTTACCTTGCAACAATCAAGTTCACGTGACATTTGAAGAGGCTTCTAGAGATGAATGCTCGCTGCGGATTTGTCGGGATGTGGTGCAGCATCGACTGTATGCATTGAGAGTGGAAGAACTGTCCTTATGGGTGGGCAGGAGAGTTTAAGGGCAAAGAAAAAAGCCTACAGTTGTTTTAGAAGCATGTGCAGACCAGGAAGTATGGATTTGGCATGCAACTTTCGATTGGCCGGGCTCCTTAAATGACCTCGACATTCTTAATCGATCTCCGATATTTGGTGATCTCATGAATGGAACCGCTCCTCGTGTTGAGTTTGAGATCAATGGGCAGACGTACAATATGGCATCTTGCCTTGCCGATGGTATATACCCTGACTGGCCTGTTTTCTTGAAACCGATGCTACAGCCGCGTGGGAATATGCAAAAGAAGTTCACACAAAGACAAGAAAGCGTTAGGAAAGACGTGGAACGGGCTTTTGGAGTTCTCCAAGCTCGATGGAGAATTTTGGCTGTGCCGTGCAAGCTTCACTCACGGCTAAACATGAAAAAGGTGATGCGTGCTTGTATTATTCTACACAACATGATTTGCGAGGAAAATCGACACTCATTCGCCGACGAGCACGGGTATTTGTTCAATGATCATGACCATTTACATCTCTATAAACTTCGCATCTCGCGTCCACT